TGGGGCAGCTTCACGTCATTCTGCATCCTGAAACCACCAGGCTGGCTCAGGCGGGGGCAGGGGTCAGACACGCCCTGCACAGACCCCAGAGGGCATGCGGGGCCCCATCACAGGGTTAGCAGCACCCCCTCCCAAGGCCCAGGCCTCCAAAGGCCAAGGGGCTTTTATTCCAGGCTGAGTACCCTGCAGACCGAGCCAGTGAGTCCCAGCACTCAGGGGACAGGAAAGACCTTGACCATGAAGGAGCCACACTGACCTGACGTTGACCATATCTGCAGGGGTCCCCACGAAGCCTCCAATGCAACCTGGAGCGACAGACCCCAGAGCCACAGTGTGAGGGGCTGGTGAGGTCTGCCTGCCCAGCCCACCTCTGCCCTCCTGGCAGCTCACCGCTGATGGAGCCCAGCAGCACCTTCTTATAGAAAGGCAGGGGCCCCTGGCTGTCCTTGGTCACTTGGTCCCGCACAGTCTCGTAGATGGCAAACCGCGCCAGGGAGTAGGTCATCTGGGGGGAAGGGGCCCAGCTCAGAGGGTGCAGGTGGAGGGGCTGTGCTGGGCACGTCTGCACCCCTCGGCCCTCCCCATTCCAGCCCTCGGGGTATGTGGTCATCACGATGTGGACCACAGGGACACCAAGGTGTCCTCCCAAGACCGTGTGGCTAGCAAGCAGCGGAGCTAATTTGCAAACCCGGGGCCGGCTGATTCCAGAGCCCTGCACCCTCTCCCCTCCCGGGCCGCAGCTTCCCCATCCTTAAGTGGAGGTCTCAGGCCAGCTGTGGGGGCAGGGCTGACCCTGCAAAAGCAGAAGCGCCCCGCACACCCCCTCGCTCTACGTCAGCTCCCCAGGCCTTGTGGGTCTTCTTAAGCAGCCCTGAAAAGGAGGAGGAAGCAGCTTGGGCGCACACAGGGCGCACACAGTGGGTAGGAGGCCCAGCCACATCTGAATGCTGGCCTGGGAGACACCAGCCACCCCCTCAGCCTGCATGGCTCGGAGCTGCGAACTTGGACCAGGGCCTAAGGGAACCCCTTGGAAGAGCCCTGGCCACGAGTCCCCCCCATGGCTGAGGCACCTGTCTGCACAGGGAGGCGCTCAGGCCGTTGTAGAGCGCCAGGATGCCGTCGGAGCGCACCACCTGCAGTGCCATGCCCGTCATGCGCAGCCTCACCTCCTGCTGCGTCTGCAGATGGACCTGGAGGGGCAACATCTGCTCAGAGCTGCTCCCGACCCCAGGCCTGCTCCGCTCTAAGCCTTTCCACAGCTACTGCCTTGACACCCTCAGATGACCCCGTGAAGGCAAGTGCCACCAGCATCCCCAGTTAGAGACAGGAAACTGAGGCACAGGGGGGCAGAGGCTGGGAGGTGCGACTCCACGCTGACACTTGGCAGCAACCTCTGTGCCCCGCTATTGTTTCACAGGGGCAATCCCTGCTGTCACGTGAGGCAGGCGCATTAGAGGCTCTACAGGCATGTCTCAGTCCTCAGCATCTGCAGAGGGGCAGGGCTGTCAGCCCCACTTCACCTGTGAGGAGACTGAGGCAGGGTTTGGACCCCGACAGGGCACTCTTTACCCAAGCCCACCGCTCAAGAGGTTGTGGGTATAACCTCATAGCAAAGAGTAATGGGGACTTGGAAGAGGTGGGTGGGGATGGAGGAAGCCTCATGCCCAGTTCAGCCATGCAAGCCAAGATGGACAGGGCAGGGGGCACTGGGCCTGAGGGCAGGGCAGCCACGTGGGCAGCAGCCCCAAGGAGCAGTGTGAGGACTGAGCCAGGACGTGGGGCAGAGGGAGAGAGCAAGCAGCTCTAAAATGATTTTTCCAAGGACCATGCCGAGAGGTGAAGACCCCGGCCAGGACCCCCATGGCTGCCAGTGACTAACCACTGTACCTCACACAGGGCCACTGGGGCAGAGGGCAGCCAAGGTCCTGCGGCCATCTGCCTCCCCTGAGGCCCTCCTGGCAGGCAGGGGTTCTGCCGCAAAAAAAACCCAGCACCTGGGGGTGGGGCAAGGGGACGGCGACACCCAACAGGGCCTTGGACAATGGACATGGACCTCGAGGCTGGCCTGGGGCTGAGGGGGGCTCCGAGGGCCCTTGGAGGCCGTAAGCACCCCATCAGAGGCCCCACAGGGGCGGGGGCAGGGACGCAGGGGTGTGCTTGAGCACCTGGAAGGATACAAGCGATACCCAGAGAGGTTCCTTTCCCCAAACCAAAAAGCACCTTCCTCTCCACTGCCACTGCCCTCTGGCTCTGCAAGGCCACCTCTCGGGCCCTGCGGGCTACCAGGAGCGCAGCCCTCTCCCAGGGAGAGCCAGGCCTGGGATCTGCTGAGTCTGCTAATCAAGAAAACCAAACTCCTCCCTTTAGGAAAAAGGCTGCTGAAAGCTGCCCTCAGGCAGGGGGCCTGGCTGGGTGCCAGGTCTGCTGAGGCTTGGGTCAGCCTGGCCGCAAGGGCTAGTCCCTCCCAGAGGGCCTGTAAGGGGTGCAGGCTGCTTTGGGGTGGGGGTAAGGAAGCGGTGGCCAGGTGGCAGTCCCATGTGACCACAGCTCAGGTCCCCAGGGCAAGGCCTCCTGAGCAAACTAAACTTAGGCCTCTGGCCCACCCTCCTTTGTTCTCTGTAGTGAGAAAGAAGCAGAAAACACCCCCCCCACCCCCGTTGCTGCCCTGGGAGACAAGTGAAGCTCTGTTTCATTGTGCCCCATAAACAACTTTCTAAAAAATGTAGAAAGTGGGAAAGCTTCTCACCACCCTTGGTAAGGCAGAGCGTTCATGCACGCAGGCCCCATGGCTTCCAGGTGCCCACACAGTCCAAGAGGAACCAGCCCAAAGCAGGGGTGCCTGGTCAGCCCACTGGCTCAGGCTACATGCCTCCTTCCCTCTCCCTCAGTGAGGACTGGGCACCCACTAGGCAGGGGTAGCGGCCTGGTTCGTGCCCTGGGCGTGCTAGAGCCCAAGTGCTTCTCCAAGTGCCAACAGCTGTGCACCCCACCAAACCACCCCCTCACCTTGTAAGCAGGCAGAACTTGTGTCCTCAGAAGCCAAACTGGCTCAGAGAGACCCAGTGACTACCCCAAGGTCACACAGGGTGGAAAGCACAGACCAGAGCCTGGAACTGGGCGCCAACGACGGGGAGCCGGCCCGGCCCCTCCCCCGCCCCCGGGGTTGTAAAGGCCCGGGCATCTCCTTCCACCCCTTCAGCAGGGCCCCCGGGCGGGTGGGGTAGTGGGCTGATGCCCTGCGGGATCCCGGCAGAGCAGAACCAGGCTGGCCAGTGGCGGCGGGGGCGGATGACCCCGGCGCCTCCCCTCGCACCCTGCCGCCCGCCCCGGCCCCGGCTCCGGCCCCGGCCCCGGCCCCGGCTCCGGCTCCCGCCCCGGCCGGCCCTCACCTTGAGCAGGTCCAGCGGGTGCGTGCAGCAGGCGGCCCCGCAGGAGGCCAGCCCCCCGAAGTACCAGCGCGACACACGCGTCTCGGTCGCCATGATCCGCCGAGGATCGCCGCCGCCTGCTCGGCCCCGGCCCCGGCCCCGATGCCGACCCCGACCGCAACCCCAACCCCGACCCCGGCCCGGGCTCCTACACAAGTCCCAACCCGCCCCGCCGCCCGCGAGCGTTCAAAGAGCCGCCCGCCGCCCGCGCCCGGTGCAGCCAATGCGCCCGCGCAGCGAGGGGGCGGGGTGAGACTGACTCCGCCCACGGGGCGGGGCCATGGCCTTAAAGCGAGCGCGGCGGCCAAGTTGGTGAACCGGAGGGCGCGGGCGGCGCCTGTCCGCGGGAGGCGGCTGGGCGGCCTCTGCCCCTGCCCCCCGGGGTCCGCCCCCGCGCCGGGGGCGTGTCTCCGCAGGCCACGGTCGCCGCGCCCTCACCTCCCGCCCCGCGCGGCCTCCCGCAAACGCCGCGCCCGGCGTCCCTCGCCACGGCGCCCGCCCTGCGCTACCGAAGAGCAGAACGCCTCCTGGGCCAGGCCGAGGACTGCAGGAAGCCCGGGGCTAGGCCAGTTCGGAGACCAGACGCCCGCTCCCGCTCCCGGCCACGGGCAGCCCTGGGCAGCCACCTGGGGGAGGCGGGAGGCGGGGCGCGGGGGTTCGGGGTCCCCGACTCGGGTCGCCCTGGCCTCAGCAGACGCGTCCACCGCGCGCAGCTTCCCCCTCTCATCCCACCTCCCGGCAAACACGAAACGCAGGTGTTCTTCGAGCGTGAAGGGGCACAGCTGGGCAAGGCGAATCCCGTCCCCAGGGCCGCTCTGGGCAGGGCCACGTGGACCGGGCGCCCTTTGCAGGTGGCAGCTACTGATCTGAGGTGGGGCCAGAGACCCCTTCCTCAGAGAAGGACCTGTGTCCTTTAGCCACTGCAGCCTCCCACCCCAAAAGAGAAGGGTAAGGGGAAACGATTCCTGGTTCCCTCAACCCGCTGAGCCCCTGAATAACCAGTGCCCCCTGGCCTCTGAGCAATGCCTGGGCAAACCCCGCCATTTGCTTAAAGTGACCACTTGGAGGCACTAAGACTTTTAGAACCCCAGGCGGCCTCCAACCCGAGGTAACCAGCTGGGGAAGCGAAGAGCAGGCCAGAGAGATGGTGTCCAGGCCCAGAAATGCCTTCAGTGGGGGAGTGCGGGCCAGGCAGCAGCCAGCTTGTCAGAGTGGGGCAGGGTGCGATGGAGGCTGCCAGATGGCACGTGTCTGGAGTAGGGTGGAGGAGGTCGCAGGAATTCTCTAGAAAAAACCAGAGTGGGAGCTACATCAGAATTCCTTAGGAAATATGAAATCCCGTCACTGGCCATGGAGGTGGCGTTCACAGCTAAATACACAAGAGCCTCTAAGAGATGGTGCCACTTTGTTTAAAAAACCAGAGCTGACCAATGGGCTGCAGGCGGCATGGTCTCCGAGTCTGAGGTCCCAGAGCAGGCAGCGTCATCCCAGCACACTCCCTCCAACAGGCTGGCACAGGCCCTGCCCAGCATCTTGTTCAGAGTGTACCCAGATGTCTGAGTCTGTGTTGGCCCAAGGGTAACAGGATCAGCCCCCCACCACAAAGTGAACACCCAACAGCCCAGAAAGCAGGCGCCAGGCCATGAGGTAGGTGCCGCCCCTTGCAAGGTCATCCACCAGGCAGGCTCCTGAACCTTGCGGGCAGGGAGAAGCCGAGGCCCAGGAACAGGAGCTAGAAATCGAGCGGAAGTACACTGCTAAGCAAAACTGCCGTGAGGACTAGAGGTGCCGTGGGAGAGCAGCCAGCAGTGTGGAGGAACCCTGGAAAACGGGGACTGCAAGATGGGGCACCCTTTTAAGAAAAAGGTGGATTTTGCAAACTACAGGTCAGGGAATGGAAAAGGATCCCCAACCAAGTTCTCAAATGAATCATGACTTGTACATAAGCCCAAGGGTGATGGGGAGCTCAGCCTGGGACCTGGAGTCTGGTGACTCCACAGGGTGCCATTCACACTTCCTCAGGGTGCTAGAGGAGGGAGGATGGAGCTGCATGGGCAGCCTGGCAGACACCAGGGTCCTTGGAATGGGGGGCGATGGGCGTGGGAGGAATGTGCTCCAGTTCTGCATCTCCCTCTGCTGTGTCCTCTGTGACCATTCATCAGCCTGGACAGACACAATGCTGATGCCTACCGGGATCTTGCGGTCTCATGGCACCAACAGCAGACCTACCTCCCAGAGCCAGGCCTAAGGGCCAAGGCCAGTGGGCTCCAGGGTGATCCTGGGGCACACCCCAGCTTTTTCCAGGCCTGAGACACTTCACAGGCCACCTGCTGCCTGAAGCAGATCGAAGGCAGCTAGGGGGCCCGGGACCCCCATCAGGAGCCTGCGCACCAGCAATCTACCCGGGGAGGTGAGGCCTCGGGTTCTCACAGCACCTTCAGGTATCTGACAGCAAGGTGAGGTGGAGGGCACCACCTGGCCACCATCCAAGGACCAGGCTGGTGTGAGGCACAATGAGGTCAGCCTGACAGTGGCCCCTGAAGTGCAAGGTTACCCCCACCTTTGAACAGCCATCCCCAGCAAGTCCAGGACAGGGAAAAGGCCTTGGGGTGGGAGGGTCCCAGTTCACCTTGGCTCCGTCAAAATGAAGCATATACTTTACAGGTTACCAGTGGGGCCCTCTGACACCACAGGCCTTACCTGGGGGCCATCCCTAAGGTCAGACCACTCCCTTCCCCAGGAAAAGGCCATTGGGCTGGGTCAACAGGACCCACAGCAGGGCCCCCAGCGACACAGCAGTCACCTCTGTGCAGGGAAGGCCCTGCGGAGATCTGCTGAAGGCAAATGAACCCCTCGGGATGGCGCGGGCAACAGGCCTGCCAGCAGGGCTCCTGGGCAGGCCGGCTTCCCCACCCCCAGACCCTCCCACAAGCTTAGCCACAGGGAGGACGCATTAGGTGTGTGTGGGAGGGCATGCCAGGCACACCCACCTAAGAGCCTGCCAGCTCCCCTGCCTGCCCTGAGCCATCCTACAAGGGGTGACGCTCCTGGTCCCACAGCCAGCTGTGCAGGACACTGTACAGACGGGGGACGGGGTGCAGGGGCAGGACCTGCAGAGGGCAGAGTGCGTAGCCCCTCATGTCACAGGAACCACCTCCCCACAGTGCAGTACCCTGCCCTCCTGGTCAGCCCAGAACCCCCGAGGCCTCCCTGGGAGCAGGCCTTGCCTGCCCTCTGCTTCGGAAAGGGGGGCTGCACTACTGACTCTGAAGTTGCCTCGTTTCCTGTCAAAAAGCTGCTACATGCCCCACACCTAGTTCCTGGTGAAGACCTGGCATCGGCTGAGTGGCAGTTGCCGCACCTCCAGCAAGATGGGCGCTGCCTAGAACCCCCAGGGTACTACTCTGAGGTTCTCAGGATGGGTGCCGGTACACAGCAGACCCCAACAATGGTCTGCAGATCCTCCCATCCCACCGGTGCTGAGGGTACCAGGAATGGGCCTTGCTGTCCTGAGCCGGCCTCCCTAGCCAGCCAGCAAGCTGACTCCACACTGCCCAGGGCGGCTCAGCCACACAGCACTCAGCGCACACCGCGCCTAAACCATGTATTTTTCTCTGTAGCATCCAAGGGGCGTGCGTGTTAACTCGTGGTGCATTCCGAGTCCATCTCTAGGGCACCTTCCCTGGGGCTCTCTGGGGCAGCAGCTGCCCCTCCCTTCACGTCTCCAGAGGTCCACCCATCTCCCAGGATGGCGTTAGCCATGTGGTGCTGAGCTGCTCCGGCCGGAGGCTGCTCAGGAAGCTGGGCCGGCCATGGGGCGGAGTGGCCGGGGCCCATCAGGTCCCAGGGACCCGTCCACAAGTCCTTTGAGACGCCTACTCCAGAACCACAGTGCCGCCCACCGCCTCCAGGGCTGCCTTGATCTTCTCGGCCTCGGCCTTGGCCACGTTGGCTCTGATCTCCTGGGGCAGGGATTCCACCAGCTTCTTGGCCTGTCAGAGAGCAGAGTCAGGAACCCGGCCCAGGCTGCTTCAACCAACCTGTCCCAGGAGGGCTGGCCTGAGGGCTGCGGGTGGCAGCGGTGGGTGGTGCAGCAGGTGGAGCCTCACCTGGACGAGGTTTATGCCCTGGACGTAGTTCTTGATTTCCTTGATCAGCTTCACCTTGTCCACAGGCTTTGCCTCTGTCAGGCGGATGGTGAAATGTGACCGTTCTTTCTGTTTGGGGATGTCTTCTTCTGCCACCTGAGGGACAGGGGAGGGGGGTATTGGCAAGGTGAGTGAGGATGGGGCAGGGCGTGTTCACTCCTGGGCCGCTCTACCCTGGAGCTCCAAAGGTGCGGCCTGGCAGCGCCTGGGGACCCAGCGGGAAGCCACACCTGCTGGCCTGTCGCGCCGCAGGCACTCTCCCTCACACGGCCCTGATTGAGACCAGGCTGCAACACCACGCATCGTCCCACCTCTCTGGAGGCTGTCCAAGCCTGCCTCACTTCAGTTTCCCCATTCCTTAAAAATGGTGATTCAGGAGCTGGGTCAGGGTGACATCCGCAGGCTTTGCAGGGAAAAAGTCACAGGAAAGCACAGCCGCTCTCAGCCAAGCCTAGTTATGTGTCAATGACAACCAGTGTCAGCTCCTTCGGCAGGTGACCTACAGGGCACCCGGGCACGATGGGGCTTCTGCTGCTGTGTGAAGCCCACAGCACCAGTGGGAGAGGGGCCACCTGGCCTAGCTGGTCTGGATATGCTGTCCAATTATCACCAGCTTTCTCAAATTATCTCAAAAGCATTCCCATTTAAACAATCAATTACACTGTACTCCTTCCTTGCCCTCAGTGTTCAGCTGAATCTGGTCATCCAGTAAAGCCACCTTCCAGTGCATGGGGCAGGGGGCAGATGATGTGAAACCATCAGACACATGTGGAGTGTGGGAAGTGCTACAGGACCACTGACCTGGCTTCCTCAGTGGGAGATGCTGGGAGAAGGGGGCTGAGGGCAGTGACCCAGATCTAAGAGACTGAGGAGACCCAATGGCCAAATGCCACACACAGAGCTTGTCTGGGCTTGGGTAAAAGAACATTATCAACAAAGTCTAGGACTGTTAGTGAAATCCCAATAGGCCTTGAAAGGAAATCACGGCTACTTATGT